TTGCAAGGTCCTGGGTTCCATCCCCAGAACTACAAAAACGAAATGTGTATAGGACCTGAAGTTAGAGCTTCTGAGTTGAAGTCCCATGTAAGATACATATGGGGCAAAGGATGCAGTTCAGTGGTGTTTAGCTAGCATTACAAGCCCTGAATTTGATTCCTCATCTCTAGCACCAGATTTTTTTTTTCTCTCGAGACAGGGTTTCTCAGTGTAGTTTTGTGTCTTTCCTGGAACTCACTTTGTAGACCAGGCTGGCCTCGAACTCACAGAGATCCGCCTGGCTCTGCCTCCCGAGTGCTGGGATTAAAGGCGTGCACCACCACCGCCTGGCCCAGATTTTTTTTTAACTCAAGACTCATGAGTTGCCTATACAACATCAAGTATTTAATATCTTTGAGCCCATTTCCTTTATCTGTAAAATGAACCAATGAAATCTTTTGCTTCTCTGTAAATGATTTGCATGAGTTGAGAGAAAAAAAAAAAGAAGCTTTGCCAAGACGAATAGCACTCTAGCACAGTTACTTATTTACTTACTTATTTAGTTTATTTTAGGTGACGGGGGTTTGAGACAGGCTCTTGCTACGTCGCCCAGGCTGGCTTCAAATTCACTATGTAGCCTAGGATGACCTTAGATGTCTGATTCTCCAACTTCCACCTCTGGAGTGCGGGGATTGCAGGTTAGTTTTGTGTAGTGCTAGGAACTGAGCCAGGGCTTCGTGAATGCTAGGTTACCACTCGACCAACTGAGCTACATCCCTCGCCTGGTGCTTAGTGTATCTCTATGGAGTAGAATACTAATCGCTCTACAGGGACTGGAGAGATGGCCCTGTTGTTCTTCCAGGGGACCCCAGTTCAATTCCCAGCATCCACATGGTGGGTAACAACCACCTGTAACTCCAGGTTGCCCTCCTGTGACCTCTGAGTTACACACATGGTGTATATACATGCAGGCAAAACATTCACATACATAAAGTAAAATAAATCTAAAATATATATCTTTTAAAAGAATCGTTCTAGCCGGGCGGTGGTGGCGCACGCCTTTAATCCCAGCACTCGGGAGGCAGAGCCAGGCGGATCTCTGTGAGTTCGAGGCTAGCCTGGGCTACCAAGTGAGTTCCAGGAAAAGGCGCAAAGCTACACAGAGAAACCCTGTCTCGAAAAACCAAAAAAAAAAAAAAAAAAAAAAGAATCGTTCTGTATTAGGCATTGCTGCTACCCTACCTATAGGTTATTGGGCATCCTTTTCATCCTTTTTTTTGGGGGGGGGCTGAGTTTCTCTAGGTATCCTTGGCTGTCCTGGAACTTGCTCTATAGACCAGACAGTGTTATCCATTATCCTTCTCCTCCTTTTTAAAATAATTAATTTTTTTAGAGTTTAGTATACCAAGTGATGAGCTCTATTATGCTACACACACACACACACACACACACACACACACACACACACACACACACACACACACATACGGTTCATTATGTTTGTTCTTATTCCACCCTCTCCCACACTGACTCTCCTCATCACTTATTGCTCCTCTCTTATTCTTCCTTCCTAGTTTTCTTTCTGCTTTCACATCATATGTATTCCATCACCTTCTTTTTTTACCCTTCTTCTTACTTTAGGGATTATTTTTTGGGGGTGGGGGTGCCTGTGCATGTTTGTATGCACACATGTGCACATTCATGTATTGTGGGATGATCCTTCTGTATACTGTGAATATGTATTACTCTCATTGGTTAATAATAAAGCTGTTTGGCCTATAGCAAGGCAGGATAAACTTAGGTGGGACAAAAATCAAACTGAAGACTTGGATGAAGGAGGGCAGAGATGGGAGAGATGTGAGCGAGCTACCCAAGAAGCAAGATGCCAGAGGACTGGTAAAGCCATGGGCCATGTGGCAATACATTTAGTAGAAATGGGTTAATTTAAAAGTAAGAACTAGTTAATAAGAAGCCTGAGCTGTTGGCCCAGCATTTTGTAATTAATATAAGCTTTTGTGTGCTTATTTGGGACCGGGCGGTCAGGACAGAAAAACTCCACCTCTATTTATATTTATGTGTATCCACTTGCACTGGGGATCAAACCCAAGGCTTTGTGTATGCTAAACACATCCTGTACTATTGAGATACATCCCATCTCACTCTTCCCTTCTGTATTCTCTACCCCCAGAATCCCTGTGTCTCTGTGATGACATTGGCCCACTTTAGAAAGCTTGCCTTGACCTTTTTTTCAAAGCTTCTATAATCAGAAAAGAAGATCTTTTCCATGGCATGGCTTGCCAAGCCCAAACCCAGAGAAAGCTCTTCCCAAATGGTACTACAGGTAATATGATATAAATTATTTTTCCTTCCTGGTGCAGCCTCTGTATTGTGACTCTGGGTTATGGTAGTCTCAATGTCAGATGGTAAAGTCACCAAAAGACATCTGAAGAAGTAGTGAGTATCCAGTTGAGTTGACACAACAATGAAAAGACATGATAAACAGTAGATTCAATATATTAGCCTGTGTACGTGGGTCAGCCTGAGTATTTTAATCCATATACTTAGCTCTGGAGTTCAGTTGATCAGGAAAGAAACTTGAGTGCTAAAGTCTGTGATAACACCAGAAGCCAAGAAAGGAATGTAGGGATTAGGGGGTAAATCAGTGGTGGAGCACTTGCCCAGCATGCAAAGCGGTGTAGAGCAAGCAGGGTACCACGGAGGCATATGCAGCAGGAAAGTGGACAGGAGATAGGAGAGGGAAGCACGAGAATTTCCTAGTCTCCTCTACCCCCACCTCCATCTTTATCAGGAAGTTGTAAGAACAGAACACTGGGCTAGGGTGCAGCTCAGGTGTAGCTTGTGTTCAGCATGCACAAGACCTGAGCCCAGTCCTTAGCAAGGAAACAAAGCAGAGAAAAAAACAAGATGAGGAGGGCACAAGGCTGAGATGCAAGGTGATTTCATTCTTCTTCTAATTTCTTGGAAACTTATGGCTTGGGCCAGATATTTGACCTTTAAAGTGTCTGATTTCTTTTTCTAGGAAATATCTTTTCTCCTCAATGAGACAAAATGCTTCCTGTTTCCCATCTCTCCCAGTCCACCTACAGGTACTTTTTTGCACGAATCCTAAATGGTCTTATAATAAAAACCTGGAGCCAGATATCAGGGTGAAAGCTGAAAGATCAGAGAAGCAGAGCAGCCAGCCACCACCTCTTACCTCACCAACTCCTCAGCCTGAATGAGAGAGTTACCGTCTCCTCCCGCCTTACGTTCCTTTCTCTGTCCAGCCATATCACTTCCAGTCTCAACCTTCCTAGTGCTGGGAGTAAAGGTGTGTGATCCCAAGTGCTGAAATTAAAGGTGTGTGCCACCACTGCCTGGCTCTGTTTCTCTTTTAGACTGGATTAATCTCATGTAGTCCAGTGTGACCTTGAATTCACAGAAATCCAGATGGATCATTGCCTGTGCCTCCGGAGTGCTAGGATTAAAGGTGTGTGCTACCACTGCCTGACCTCTGTGGCTAACTCTGTGGCTGGTTCTGTCCTCTGATCTTCAGGCGAGCTTTATTTCCTAGATTACAAATATATCAGCACAGTACTTTTAGCGTATGATCTAATGAAATGATTGCCAGCTTTCAGGAGAGAATCCTAGGAGGGAAGATGCTACCACCCATTTCCATGACAAAGTGCTACAAGGGACTCAGCCTGCCGCCCAGCAGGGCCGCTGCCAGGAAAAGAGACTTTCTAGGGCTCGGTCCCTTCCCACCAGACTTCCCACCAGACTCAGGCCAGCTTGAACAAGCTGCCCTTCTGCTGTGACTTTTGGTAAACAAACAAATGAACAACCATCCAAAGCTTTAGAGCATCACACGGACACTTTCTAGGGAGTGGCTACCTACCCTTTGGATTCACCTTCTCCTGGAGAACTAGAGTGAGGAAATACGCTTAGTCCCGTAGACTTCTGCCCTGTACAGCATTTGCATGGTATGTGCTTGATTTTAATGTCCTGGAACACATTGGTCCTTCCACTTTTCCGCCTCTTCCAATGTGGTTTTTTTTTTGGGGGGGGGGGCATTTTTACGTATCTTAGGCTGGCCTCAAATTCGGCTATGTAGTTGAGGATGACATTGAATTTCAGGTCCTCTTTGCATTTACCTCTGATCCCTGGATTACAGCTGTGTGTCACCATGCCCAGCTCTCTCTACATTCTTCTGACTTGTTTTCTCCACAAGAGTGAAAAAATTGAGCCTCCACCTGCTGGGTGACCTCTGACAATTCACTCTGCCCTTCTGGGTTTTTTAACTATCTCATTTAAATCAGATAATACTGCTTTCTCTGCCTAAAGTCAGGGTATTGGAATGTGGAGTATCTGGAGGACCCTTTCAACCCTGAGTGATTTCCCCCCTCCTTTTCAGTGTGTGTGTGCGAGCGCGCGTGTGTGTGTGTGTGTGTGTGTGTGTGTGTGTGTGTGTGTGTGTGAAGTAGAGCTCCAGATCTTATTACAGGTATTTTAATAAAGACAGTGCATGCCCAGCAGTGGCATGGGCTCCTTAAGGAAGAGGCGCCTCTCCTTTTCTTTCCCCCCCTCTTTTTAAACTACTTTATTATAAATTATGGGCATGTGTGTGTCTCTGTGTGGGTATATACACGTGAGCAGAGGTTGCAGCAGAAGCTACAAGAGAAAGTTAGACTTACAGGTGAACCCAGCTCAGGTCCTGTAGAGAGCATTATGCACTCCAGGGATGAGCCGTCTCTGCAACTCCACCCCACCTTTTCATTTCCTTATTTCTTTTATAGTTCCGGGAATGGAACCCAGGGCCTCTGCCATGCTAAGCACGTGGTCTACTATTGAGTTGCTTCTCCAGTCTTTCTTTCATTTCATTTATTTATTTATTTATTTATTTATTTATTTATTTATTTATTTATTTATTTATTTATTTATTTATTTATTTATTTATTTATTTATAATTAATTCTCCAACATCTCTTCCACTCAAAATGGGGGAAACTCTTTATTAAGGCTCCTCTGGCCAGGAAAGAACGGTATTCAAATTTGACTTGGAAGACAGAGTTAAAGGCTAAGTGTCCATTGGGGCTAGGGTCATTTTAGGCAGAGAAAGACCCGGAGGCCAAAGTCACCGAGGTCACTCCAACAAAAATGCGTCTCAACTCCACACCAGCTTCGAAGGAGCACCCTCAAATATCTTGGCGGTGACTGGGTTTCCTTCGGTCATAGAGTCCACGTCTTAACTCACATCTTCCTGCATGCCCACATCTCCCTCATCACACATCCCACACTCCCTCCCACATAACCCCAAGGGGTGGCTGCGTCAGGGACCGGCTCTCTGGCCCCACCTCTCGCCTGCCCTCCGCCTCTAGGGGGCAGGGCCCACCTGTGCCTGGGGGCGGGGCCGAGGCGGGGGGCGGGGCGGGACAGGTAGGGTGTAAGGTAGTGTTTGGAGCCGAGAGAAAGCGCCCAAACTGCAGCAAGCGAGCGCAGGAGCCGGCGGCCACTTAGGAGAGCCTCCTGGGCAGGGTGCAGGAGCGAGCGGGGAGGGAGGGAGGTGGCGGGCCTGCGACGAGGAGAGGCGTGGAGTGGACACTTGGGGAGGAGGAGCCGGGCTCCGCGGCCGGAGAGAGACCTGCGAGGCGCCCGCGCAGCCGAGGGACCCCAGCGCGCAGAGCATGAGCGGCCAGCCGGCTGGAGAGCGACCCGGGGAGACTGCTTGCGCGCCACGCTGAGCGGCGGAACCGGGTCGGGGCGGCGGGTGCGGGGTAGCCAGTGCTTGGGCGGCGGGCCGGGCGCAGAGCCATGGGGAGCCCCCGCGCTGCGCTGCTGATGCTGCTCCTGCGCCCCATCAAGCTGCTGAGGAGGCGCTTCCGGCTGCTGCTGCTGCTCGCGGTGGTATCAGTGGGACTCTGGACTCTGTATCTGGAGCTAGTGGCGTCAGCCCAGGCTGGCGGGAACCCCCTGAATCGCAGTAAGTAGCGCCGGGGGCCAAGGAGGTGGCGGAGGTGGGCGGGCGCCCCGGGGCGGGGATCCGCCTCTCCCAGCAGACTCCAGGTGCCAGCGCCGCTCCTCGCCTTCCCGGGGACCCTGGCCGGTGGGGGCCGCCGTGGGTCGCTAATTCTGGCCTGCCCAGGGTAGAGTGGGACCAGGACGCTCTCGGGGCTCCCAGAGCTCTGGCAGAGGTTTGGAACTCCTTCCACCGTGCAGAATTCGCAGCATCGTGGACAGAGACGCGCGATTAGCGAGCGCGGGCTCCGGGGCTGCGGCGCAACTCGGCCGCACGCTGCGATCGGCGCCGCCCCAACTTTGCCCTCCACTTGCTGGTTGTATGGTTGGGTTCCTGTTTCCCCTCCTGCAGATCTTTCGGGGTTTCTTTTTCAGTCGCACCCCCGAGAGAGCCTCCAGGCCTTCCCGCATTGGGTGCGCTGTTTCCAAGTACCCACCTCCTTGAATTCTTAGTTCTCCGCTCATCCAGACTGCCACCTCCAGTGTTTGAAGCCCTTGCAGAACCCGCGGATCTAACAAACTCCCGAGATCCCGCCAAGGCGACTACGCCATGGGTAGATTCCTACTTACATTTTTATTCCACCAAAGCACTCAAGTTTCTGCTTAGAAAAACGGGAGGAAATGGCCTTTCCCCTCTTCAATGGATATGATTGTCCACAGCGACTTTCAATATACTTTTGATTGGCCTAACAAAGTAAAATATCATGTGGTAGCCAGAAAGGAATGGAGAACTTTCCAGAAGGGTCAGGTACCCTTCCCCAGCCTAAAGAGAAACTCCCTGGGTTTCACTTTTCCTGTTTTAAGAGTCTCAAAGAATACCTTTCTGGTAGATATTTTGGTCAACAGCTTTGCCCTTGGCTGAATGTGGTCTTTTGTGGCTCAGAAGAAGAAATTATTGTCTCAGTAACTAAGCAGGTTTGGAGACATGAGCTTATAGCCCACCCTCTCTGTGGCAATGGACATACATAATTCTGGCTGTGAGCTAGGAGACTGGCAGTCACAAGAGATCAAGCTACTGTATGTAGCTAGAGATCAAGAGGCATTTGGCCTGCATGATCTCCAGGGTCCCTCTCAGTTGGGATAAGAGACGGTATGGCCACTTGGTATCCGCCACTTGGGCATTTCCGAGGTGAGAGGGAGCCCCGCATCTATAGGGAAGAAGGTTGCCCTCGGCCACAAGCACGTAGCCCTGCATAGAGTCCTTCCTTCCCGTGACCCCAGTCTTCCTCCTCGGGTTTTGTTTTTTGTAGAAGCCTTCACACTGTGGCCACGCAGGTGCAGGGAGCTGAGCTTTCTTGGAGTGCGTACAGGTGGGAGGCTTGAGTTCATCTCCTCCTTGGAACACCCGTTGCCAGCATAGTTAGTGGGATACTGCGTGTAAATGCGACAGGGAGGCGGCTGCTTTGTGATCCCGAAGTTAGTGGTTGCTGTCTGTCCTCTTGGCTTTTCCTCTACCGCGGGTGTGCTTCCTCGTCCCAGACCAGGCCCAGCTGGCCACAATAAGCTTGCACTCCAGCTCCCACCAGCCCTTGGATCTTGTTGGCTTCCTCATACCAGTTTCTGAATCTGCTGTGTTTCTCTCCTCGGTGGATCTGACTTGTGGGTTTTTATATTTTTATTAAAAAAATTATTTCTTTTTCCAAACTGACCCTTCTCCAAAAAATGTTCCCAGCTTCTTATTCCAAAATTGACTCAGTGCTCCTTGTGATTTTTTTTTTTTTTTTTCTTTTTGAGACAGCCACGCTCTAGCCCAGGCTAATGGCGGCTTGCTGTTGCAGGCAGGGCTTGATTTCAAGATCTTCCTGCCTCAGTCTCCCGACTGCTGTTCGGGGGCGTCTGCCACATAGCCTGTTTTCTTCCCTGTGGCTTCTTTCTTTTCTTTCTTTTGTTTGTTTTTTGAGACAGGGTTTCTCTGTGTAGCCCTTGGCTGTCCTGGAACTTGCTCTGTAGTAGACCAGGCTGGCCTTGAACTCACAGAGATCCACCTGCCTCTGCCTCCAGAGCTGGGATTAAGGGCATGCACCACTTTTTTTTTTTTTTTTTGGTCTTTAAGATGCCCAGATGTTTTGCATCAAAATTCCCTTCTGTGCTGTGTCTTACTCGCAGGTCAGAGCTATTCCTCTGGGGATAGGGTAGGGCATTAGGAATGGAAAAGTGGGAAGAGGTTGCTAGTGTTCCCTCCTCCTGCATACCAACAGCTACCAGAGTAGTAAAGCTACCCTCCCAGCTGTGCCCAGGACTTGACCACAGCAACCAGAGCCCCGTCTTAGCCCTGTTTCCCAGTGAGCCAATCTGTGCCAACTCAGTCCACCACCCGCCTTCCTGTCATCTGTGAGGCTGGCCTCTACCGCCCAGAACCTGTCATTTGCTTGTCCCTGTGTGAGGGTATATTGGTTTAGCACTGGGAAAGTGTATAGAGAATGGCAGTCACAAACTCTAGGGTGGCAGAGTAATGACAGGGGAGCAGACTTCCTGCTCCATCTTCACAAAATAACCTGGTAGTTTAAGATATGGATGGTGTGCAATTTTGGGCTCCATATGCAGAAAAAGCTATAACCACGATTGGGAGAGCTTTAAAGGAAAACAACTAAAATTATTAACACATAGAAAAGGGTTCTTGGCTGCAATAATGTCAGCCATTCAGTCAGTCATATTTGTTTAATACATAGCTCAAACAAAGCACTGTGCTAGGTCATTTAGATATGATGACCAAGATACGGTGTCTTAGTTAGGTGTACTAATGCTATGATGAAACATCGTGGCCAAAAGCAAATTGGGAGGAAAGGGTTTATTTGACTTACACTTCCACATCATAGTCCATCACTGAAGGAAGTTGGGCAGGAACCTGGAGGCAGGAGTTGATGCCAAGACCATGGAGGGGTGCTGCTTACTTGCTGGCTTGCTCCACATGGCTTACTCAATCCTTCCTTCCTTCCTTCCTTCCTTCCTTCCTTCCTTCCTTCCTTCCCTTTCTTTCTTCTTCCTCTTCTTCTCTCTCTCTCTCTCTCTCTCTCTCTCTCTCTCTCTCTCTCTCTCTCTCTCTCTCTCTCTCTCTCTCTGTGTTCATTGGTGTTTCGCCTGCATGTTTGTCTGTGTGAGAGTGTCAGAAGCCCCGGAACTGGAGTTACAGACATTTGTGAGTTGCCATGTGGGTGCTGAGAATTGAATCTGGGTCCTCTGGAAGAGCAGCAGCCAGTGCTCTTAACCGCTGATCCATCTCTCCAGCCCCTAGCCCGCTTTCTTTTTTTCTTTTTTTTTTTTTTTTTTTTTTTTTTTTTTTGGTTTTTCGAGACAGGGTTTCTCTGTGTAGCTTTGCGCCTTTCCTGGAACTCGCTTTGGAGACCAGGCTGGCCTCGAACTCAAAGAGATCCTCCTGGCTCTGCCTCCCGAGTGCTGGGATTAAAGGCGTGCGCCACCACCGCCCGGCTTAGCCCGCTTTCTTATACACCTTAGGACCACCAGCATAGGGATAGTACCACCCACAATGGATTGGGCCCTTCCACATCAATCACTAATTAAGAAAATGTCCTACAGGCTTGCCTGCAGCCTGATCTTAGAGAGGCATTTTCTCAATTGAGGTTCCCTCCTCTCCAATGACTATAGCCTGTGCCAAGTTGACATAAAATGATGAGCCAGCACATAATGGTTTCTTTGTTCTATAGCTTTCTGGCTAGGAGTGGAACAAGGTGTTGATATGAAACAAAAACAAAAAACAGGCTGGATGGTGATGATACACACCTTTAGTCCCAGCATTTGGAAGGCAGAGGCAGACAGATTTCTGAGTTCAAAGCCAGCCTGGTCTACAGAGTAAATTCCAGGACAGCAAGGGCTACACAGAGAAACCCTATCTGGAAAGCATTCATTAAATTTTTCAAAAGTAGAAAGCAAATATTCTTGTGATATTTCTGAAAATGGGACACAGCTTTCAAATAATTTCATAGAAGTGGAGACATTTAGGGAGGTGGTGAGGAGTTGGTTAAATTCTGATGAATTGGGGCTGGAGAGATGGCTCATTGGTTAAGAGACCTTGCTGCTCTTGAAGAGGACCTAGGTTTGGTTCCCAGGATCAACATGGTGGCTCATAATGATTTTCGTTCCGGTACACAGGATCCATTGCCCTCTTCTAGCCTCCACGAGCATGGCATACACATGGTGTGCTTATTGATGCAGGCAAAGCACACACACCAAATAAAAACAGACTCTGATGAATTGAGGCTGGGGATGCAGCTCAGTTGGCAGTATGCCTGCCTAGTGTATATGAAGCTTTGAGTTTTATCTTCAAGACCTTACAGAACTGGATGTGGTGTACCCCTGCAGTCACAGCATTCTGAGGTGGAGACAGGAGGATCGGAAGTTCAAGGCCAGCCTGTGCTACATGAGACCCTGCCTTTAAAAAAAAAAGCTGAAAGAAGGCAAAAGAAGATTCTGATGGAGGGCAGGAAAAAGGCTACTCACAGGAGCCAGGAAAAAGCTAGTGTTTGGGAATGTGAGCAGCTGAGTGTGGTGACACAGAAGGTATTTAGGTAAATGAAGGATGAGGCTCAACTGTGGAAGACTCTTGAGCTACATCCCAGCTCTTGTGCAAGACTTTGAATAACAGGAAAACGTGGCATCTGGTTCACTGAAAGCAGAAAAGCAGTTATGGGCTTTAAGGTAGGATAACATTGCTGTGTGGAACAGGCAATCTTTGTAATAATACTTTGAGGATGGGTAGTGGTGTTGGAATAGGGTCTTCAGAGCTCCTTGCTGTGCCCCCATAAGTCCATAAGTTGCTGGATGTTAAAAGCTGCTCTGGAGTGTGTCATCACAGCAGTGGTGTTGCTCAGAGAACCTGAGGTGACTATTGTATTCAGATGTGCACCTAAGTATTTCAGTATTTTAATAACTGGTACAGCTATGTTGATGCGTAGTGGCTGAATAGCAGCCCTGAGAGCAGACTCTTCAAGGTTCTCCATTCAGGTAGGC